GAGGTGAGGGGATTGGTAGAAAACACCTACAACTTTCTGTAAAATAGTACTATATGCTCTGTTCTTTTTATTGGTGATCGATGCGAAGTATGATCCCAAATAGTAAAAAGAAGTTTTGATGTAACTAACAGTGTCCAGTGCTTTGGAGCCTCCATCAGGTTTTTATTCCTGTATTTGGCTGCACATTTTCTGCCCCTACTGGAGCAAAGCACCCTAAACATCATGATGCTGCCACCATCATGTGTTAGTGGGGGTTTGGTAGTATATTCAGAGTCAACTACAAGTTAGTTTGAATTCACGTGTAGGATTTTTAAGTATCTTAAATCGTTAAAAGCCTTGCCATGACACCATGCTTACAATGCCAGAAAGTTGATGATAAATAGAGACATGGTTTTAGTGGAGTCAAACTGGCTCTCACACACCTTCAGCCACACACGCTTACTAACACCTTATCATGTATGCTTAATATATTTCATTTATCTTTTCTTTTTTTTTACAATATGCACATTATTTACATGCAGAATTGGGGCGGTAAACTAAAACCATAAATCACTAAACATAGAGGAGATGTTATTTGGACGCCGCCGCCTTTGGCTTGTTTTAAATTAACATCATCTTTCAGCATGCCTATTTCTATGTGTGTGTAGTCAGCCAGTTGATTCGCGGGTGTTTTGATTCTGCACACTATCTATGTGTGTGTGGGGGAGTCGACCCAAAAGGTTGAATGCAGCTCTGAACACGTGGGAGGAGATTCATGCATTTGTGTCAACATCTTCTGCACAACGCGCACAGTGTACGCTGAATCGATTGGTAGACAAAGACATTGTTAAAATGCCAATATGAGCGTATACGAGCCAGGGAGTGAAAAATGTAAGGTTTTTGCATCACAATGGGATAAAAAAGATGTTATGAGAAGAAGAGAAAAACAGTGCGTGTCTCCAGAGTTTTTTCTTCCTGTCTCCGTGCTGATTGGGGTCAGTTCTCCACCATTAACCATGCGCAGGCGGAGGGAGGGCTGGAGCAGCCGGTCGACCCCTCTGCTTTCACACGGCAGCCTGATAATAAGGACCGGTGCCTCAGAGGAATGCTCTGCCGCTGGAATGCTCAGCTAACCTGTCTGCACTCTTTAAATGCTGCTTTTATGAATCCTGAATGTGGTTATCAAACGGAGACTGGCAGCTCTGTGAGACAGCGCAGTGCTGTTTTTGCTGGATGCATAACTGCTATCCTACGTTTGACATTCCCCAGATGCATCTTCAACTTGACCTTCCCAATCTGCTTCTAACACAGTCGGTGATGGGAAAATATCACAGGAACAAGAACTAACATAGTAGCTCATTTAGGTATAGTATGTCTATGGCAGCATTGCACATCTGGGGACTGGGGTGTTTGCACATATTTCTGTGGCAAAATAGGTTAAGCTCAGTCGGACTCAATGGAAAAGGTGATTCGATGGAATTAATGATTGGATTTAGGTCTCAACTTAACTAGGCCGTTTAGGTGCATGAATTTCCTTTGATCTAAGCCATTTCATTCTACCTGATGGCTTTGCTGTTTTGCAGGAAGCTGAACATCTGACCCAACTTTGTCTTTTTGCAGCCACTTAAAATATACATCCCCACATCTGATTAGAGCATCTGGAATTGTGCTTGATGTTTTTCTAGGGAGAGGTCCGGTCAGTTTTCTATTCCCACAAGTTGTTTTCGAATAAGCCAAAAGATTTAAGAACATGTTTGCCACAACCAGGCGCGCTGGAAGCTGTTTCAAGCGAGGGGGGCTGATGGCTGGGTTGGAAAACACACGTGACGTCATTATGTTGAGGGCTGCGGCTGAAGTTTTTAACATAATATCGTAGGCCTACATTTGTCGCCAAAAACTGCCATTTAAAATGCATCGGAACAAAGCATGAACATTTTAAACTTTATTTCTTCTCTTTTAATCATTCAAAACAAACAACAGCTCCCAATCAACAGCATGAGGAACACTTGAATAAAACATGGCCTAAATATCGCCTAAACTGAGCATTGAACGTCTTGAAAGTCCATTCGACTATGGATATGGGGAATGGTTTCATATCTGAAACAAAAAACACACACAAAAAAAAAAAAAAAATTAATATTTTATCACTAAATAGCTTAATACAGACATAATATTTAGTGATATGCAGCCTTATTCTAGCGTAGACTTCTTCAGCCACAGGACTACGACAAATAGGCACAACATATAGAAATAAATAACAAAATTAATAACGCTAAATAAATGCTTGATGGCAGTATAGCGGAATTAAAACCATTTCCTACCTCGAAATAGTCAGAAATACGTTTATGCTGCCTTTTGCTAGCAAT